TCCCCTCTCCAGAGGTATAAATAGGACATTTGCCATCCAGGGCAAATTCCGTGTCTGGGACAGGGGTGGAAGAATAGGTGTGGGTATGTGTGTATGGGCCTGTAGAGAGATCTCTGACATTTGCCAGGATGTCAGCCTGTGTATGTGTGGGGGGAGGTGTCAGAAGACCACTGTGGTGAGGAAGCAGTACCCTAGAACAAAGTGCTATTCACCCCGCCCTAGTTATAGCTGCCTTTCCCTGAAAGGGCAGGCCTTTGCCTTCCTACTGCCTGAATTGCTAGAATTGTCCGGGGTTCCCCTCAGCCAGACTCAGTCCTAGAGTTCTCAGAGTGCCCTAAACTAAGCCTAGAATGAAGAGACAACTGGAAGGAACTCAGGATTTGGAATCAAAAGCCCTGGGTTTGAATCTTAGCTCTGCAACTTATTGCCTATGTGACCTTGGACAAAATACCTCATTTGTCTGGGCCCCAGTTTCCCTAACTGTAAAAAGAGGTGGTTGCATTTGATGACCACTGAGGTCCTTTTAGCTCTAGCTCTCTGATTCTATGATCCATTAAATTTACGTCCCATAGGTTTTTCAGCCTCTCCTTAGCCAGTGAGTGCCCACTACATTTCCAGTTTTCTACCACAAAAAAGTACCACTATGAACATTTTTGATATATATATGATTTTTCTTTCTGTCTTTGATCATATAGGAATATATGCCCAACTACCTCATTATCCAGAGGAGGAAACTGGGGCCCAGACAAAGGAAACCACTGCCCAGATGTCACATGGTTTATTAGTAGCAGAGATCAGAGCAAATTTCTGAATTTCTCCCACTCCAGATGCAGCCCACTTTCAAATCTATAATGATGAGGCTGTGACCTGTCCTTTGGAGGAGCTCAAGGTCTCATTGGAGAGACATGATTTACACCCACAAAAAGTCTTAGAATCCCTGGTTTCCTTCAAAGCTTTGCTGCAACATTTTCTTCAGCCTAAGATCCTTCCTGATCTCTTCAGACACCTGGGCTGCCAATGCCGTTCACACCAGAGCTGCCTTGTATCTCCTGTATGCCCTTCCCACCAGGGCTGCCTTGTA